TTCATTCGAATAGCACTTATATATCGCATTTGCAAAATGATGCACCAAAAATATATAACACCTGCCAATGACAAACGTTTTAACTGTGTATCTAAGTAACACTATCAAATGTCCAATCACCATCATCATCATAATCATCATCAATGCAACCTGTATGAAATTATACATTTGCCATCCATGATCATATGATCCAATAGTCAGTTAATTATATTCTCATAATGTGTAAATTATGTTTAATCAATCAATACAAATGAAAACTTTGTATGCTGTAACTACTTATAGAACAGAACAGAACAGAACAGTACAGAGCTAAAGACGACGAGTTCACATGACTGCATTAACACTCGACTATTTCATCATGCGTAAAATTGACAAAAATAATTCATGATATTTTTTCTGTTTGTTTTAGATGATTAAACCTGTAATCCTTCACATTTCCAGATAAATTCTAATTATGATGATGATGATGATAAGAAAGTTAAGTTGTAGGCGAATAGAAATCTGCTGGGGTAGATTTCTATGATCATGCAATAGAAGACAATGATAGACAATATAATCTAGTCAATATCATTATTCATTCTATGATAAATACAACTATCTTAAAGGGAATTAAATCACAGAATTATTGCTTTTAAATTATGCGCAAAAAATGGATGACATAGAGATTTCAGACAATAAAAATTATAGGCTTTTTTATGAGAATACGGAAATAAATTCACTGTCGATTGATTTTCCAATGAGAACCAACATTAGTTAGACGGTGTTCAACACCTTTATGGAGTACTGGACAGATGTTTTATCCTAGTTTGAAATTCTGCAACACTGTACATTCATAAACCTACTTTGAATCGAATCTGGGACCTTTAAGGCACAAGATTAAGTTCATCAACCATTTAATTACTTTGAGTGACACTCGGTAACTCGTAAAATTGGTTGGCGTAAAATGCTATTTCACTTAGTTGACAGAGATCAGATTTCACAGGCCACTCAATGAATTCCGTCTCACGTGGCTAAATGCTCAGAGAACTTGGCGTCGTAACTTGAAGATCGCAGATTTGTTCCCTGGGTAGATCATAAGTTCACAATATTGAAGAGTGTCAAATTAGAAAAATGGCAGTTTTCTAGTGCTACCTGGAGGTTTTTAATGATCTACATATTGACACTACTTTGTTACTCGTGCATTTCTTGATAGTTGAAATATCGTAACATTATTTTTGTAAAATCTCAAACTCTAAATTTAATATTAAGTGATTGGAGGTGATGGGGTTAAATCTCATGTCTGAACAAGACGTCATGATTGTTGATACTCATAGGCAAGGTGTGTCTGTAAATTTTAAAGGAACTGATGTCAACTTTGAGGCTTGAACATGCTTCACCCAGTGCTGCAGTGAATGGTGCATTAACCGTTCATCACAGAGCAACGAAAGTCAAGTGTCTAGGTCCTAGTTATTTATAAAGCTAAACCAGCACTAGGTTTAATGGTTTCCGTGGGCAAGAGTTCTTTTGGGATGATTTTGACGCCTTGCTGACCACCGGCAATAAGTAGGACACTTAATCCAGTCAACGCTTCTTGTGAACTCCAGCCAACCACCTAGCATAAATTCAAAAAGCGGCACAACTGCGGGTTACTTAACTTGGCGACGACAATGCGAACCTGACTGATAGATTTCATTCTGTACTAATAAAAAAGAAGTAGGCGAATGACACTGTTTACCCTCTGCTGATGACTAATCTCTGCACAGTAAGTAAGAGGTATATATGCATAGATTTGCGTCACTGAAGAGTGAAGATATAAAATACTGCAAATTTTTTAATTGTCAATAGTCTGGAATCTATAAAGTAGATTGTTGGACAGTGTTTTAGAAACAAGCCATCTTATACTATCTCATAAGCAAAAAGGTAAATATATATTTACTAATTTCTACCTCTGATGATTCATTAAGGCTAGAATTTTATTATAGATTGTAATTCCTTCAATAAATTTTTTGTGGTAATAACATTTTAAAAAATGCAATCCACTTTCTCTACATATTACATTACCATGTAACCAATGAAATGAAGAAGTCGCCTTTAAGCTTATAACTACATAGGATGTTATACGATTCCCGCTTCTTTTGGCCTAAATACCTCAGATAATTACATATTCTTCATGAAATTATTTCAAGATTTGAACTAGAAGTCCTCTTCATCCATTTCAAAAAGAAAATTATTTGCTGTTAACTGGAATTTCATGTAGTCGTGTCATACTCGAAAATGGTGTGTTATCTCCCGCTTATGATCTTATCAATGCAAGAAACGGACTAGTACGTGCAAGAACTGCATGGAAATAGGATAATTCAACAGATTTTCACATATCAACGCTAGTCAACAGAAGGCCAAACAAAAACTTGGTGTATTTTTGGCACAAGAGACAAGCTATATAAAATCTGACAGTTTGTTCAAGAGCTTGAATACTGTCAAGGCATCCACACCAAGGCATGCAGTTGTTTCAAGGGGCAAATATCCCTCCCCGAAACGTTTTACTTGAAGCATGATCCAAAAAGCAGTGAAACAGCGTCAGAAACAGCTGCTCCCCACGGTTGCTGGTGTCCGAAAAGGTTAATACGTCATTCGATCTATTCAGATTCTGAGGCCCATGTACACCATAGGTTAGGAATCATGGTTGTTTTTAGCTCCTTTAGGTAGACCTTTATGTCACCCATCCGGCTGCAAACGTCAGGCGCTTGTATTCGCTCATTCACTTATGTGAGGAACGCCAGTGTCCTGTGAAGGCTATGCACGAGTAGTCACGTGAGGTGCATTTCGAGAAGACCGAAATTCATCCACTCCTGACCACACGAGTTCGTTTATGGGAGGGAGCTTCATCACCACATGTTAAATTTTGACTAACATTTCTATTAGTTTGATATTACACTGCAATAGTAACGCTGCTTTCTTTAAGATAATGTTACATGATAAACAAGAAGTTATATCATTTGGAAGAGAACTTTGGGGTATGTGTACCAACAGATGAAAGCCTGATATCTGTAAATATGAGTAATACAAAGAGCATGAATGATTGGCACCAAACCTTGGCTGATTGCACGAATTATTGTGTCTATCTATCTGGTGGCTCAAGAGAAATAATCCCTTTCAGCAGACATACTGACTGTACTTTATGCTTGAGAGCATTTTTTCTAGCCTGCTATCACTCGCTGGATAAAAGCATATGTGGGCGTATCAAGAAAAGGAGTATTTTGTTTATATTACCTCCAATGACTTAAGAGAACACTTGTTGAATTGCACAGTCTTCACTTTTTCACTGTGACAGATTTGATTGTATGGAAAATTTCATCATGAGCTGAAATAGGTTAGAGAACCAATGGAAAACCAGCTTGGAGTACTGAAAAGTTGCTTCGTCCTACTTTGAGACTCTTCATCAGTACTCACCTACCGGGATTCGAACCCAGGACCTTCTGGTTACAAGGCGAGCAAGCTCGTATACCATTAAGCCAATGGTACCCAATCCAATGGTTAGCCCATGAATTCTAACTTCTGCCAATTCACGACATAGCGCGACCATTTTGCAATGTCTTCTACGATGAATTACTGCCTCATCTTCAACTAGGACGAAACAGCTGTCCAGTACTCCCTGGCAAGTTTTCCAGTGGTTCTCTAAGTGATGTCAGCTCATGATGAAATCCTCCATGAAATCAAACAAAATCCTTACAAAACGAAATACTTGAAAATATGACAGATTTGAAAAATATTCTAGATTTTTTACTCCCCTTGAACTTGCTAATCCATCAGAAAGTAAGCTATTTCGTGAAGTGTTTATTTTCGCAGACTTGGAACATGCTGACAAGTCACTGCAGATTCTCATCGAAAGCCACGTTCTCTGGCTTCCCAGTGGATATGGGATAGCCAAAAATAATTAGTCGCGTAGAACTCTAGCAAGCAATGAACCAATTAACAAGATATTACCAAACATTTATCACGAAGGAAATATAAAACAATTGGACATACAAACTCTGAGGCAAAGGCTGAGTAACATCAGACACTAGGCTAGCCTCCTGGATGGGTAATGCCTGGATGGGTGTGGGTTTGACAGGGACATGAAAGATACTGTGTGACCGGGAAGAAATGAAAGGTCGAAGGGTAATTATGGTGACAACAGGGAAGGATAGGTGCATTTGAAGCGCTGGGTTCCATTCGGAATCCAAAGAAACAATAATAATCATTTATTTGGTTTTCTCACTAAGAGAACGCTGACTGAAATACCCATGTAGTTTCATATTCCTTCGCTACGCGTTTTCTATTATTTCGTGACAAATACTGACTGACTGATAGGTCGACAAGGAACTAAGATGCATAGAAGTGCACCAGTGTCAGTGACTATATTTCATAAAATAACATAAATAGTGGAACACTAACAAAGTGATACTAGAAAAGGGAATACAACAGACAAACTGCCAAGCATTTTACTTCTGTTTCCATACAGAAGCAACTATTAAAAAAATATGCTGTCTTCTCTCTTCGAAACAAATTTATGTATTTATCCAATAAAAGAAAGAATTAGATACCCCGGTGTAGATTACAGAGTGACTAAGGATCAAATAAGAAACGGACGGTAGCAGTTTTATTCTGGCTCGCCAATGGTACACTCTATTAACCTCACAAGAGATCACACCTTTAGGACCTTAAGGTCGTATTGATCAACAGTACATTAGATCATTTAGCAGCCATTGAGTCAGAATTCCTTGACTTGTCTACTCTTTATTCTATTAATTCACGAGCTTGTATACTGCTCAAAAAATCCGAAACTAGATAAGACAAAAAAGCCTTTTCCCAACCCCCACCCTTGATTTCTCTTTTCAATGAGATGATGTAATTGTGTTAATTACAGATGCGATAAGAAAATAAGGTGTAGAAAAACTGCAAATAAGGCGAAGAAAAAATAAATAAACAAATAATAAAAGAATAAATTTACTCTCCCATTAAACTCATTTTGCTTTTCTTACCTGAGGTGTATATTTCACAATTGAGATGAATAGTTTCACATGAGATAATAGATAAAAGGTATCCAACCATTGTACAGCATTTGCACCACCTATGATACACACAATGATTGTATATATTGCGATCAGAATTATTAATCCTATACACATTTTGGAGACACGCTGGTCACCACGCTAGAAAAAAGAAATAAATATAAGAGAAAAAAGAAAGAAAAGCAAAAATATGAGAGAAAAAAGGAAGAACTCTTTTTACTGATTTGTACTTCTGTATTTAAAATTATTATTGGTATTATCACTGCTTTCTAATTATTTTGACTAGTCGTCAGTATAAGAGTGATATTAATATAATAATTAGCGAGATTTTATAATAAATTACTCATAGTATACAATTTGAATAAACAAAATGAAAAATGGGTAGGGCTAAATTATGATTAGAGATTGCCATACTTTAGGATGTGCGTCGGTGGCACAGCGGTTAGGACACTCGCTGACCATGCATATAGTCCGGGGTTCGATCCCCGACCACTGGACGCACTCCTTTACCTCGCTCTCTAAGCCAGAAATAATGCTGGTAAAGAAGAAAAGGTTGAACATGAGTCTAGCTACCCTATCCTGTAAAAATAAACACTGCTACAGAAACTTCAAGCTACTAACGTGAAGCCCTATGTTCCACTGGAAACGTGAAGGAAAAAAATACCTTAGGATGGAGTGGATTAAGACCATGAAAGCTGGATGGATTAAATCAATTATTTGTGTGTACAGAGATCTAGCTTTTCTATTTCGATGGCCAAAGCTTCAGCGATACAAATCCGTCGAATACGTAGTGATTTGGGCAAATTACTTATCGCTGTGTAGAGGACTTTCAAGGTAGAGACTGTAGAGGTAGGGTGGTCATTATCGACTAGATGTGCAATGATCACACTTCTTACTGCTCCATTGCCACTTCTTCGTAACCACGCAGGGTGGTATTCTAGCACCTTCTTAAGCAAAACGCGAGTCGAACGACGGATATACTTAGTTCCACACGAGCAGGTGAATTTATAAACGCACATAGAATTGGTCAATTGCAGGATCTTGTCCTTCAAATAAGTGAACAGTAATCCCTAATCGTATTTTAGCTCTACTCATTTTCTTGTTTTGCTTCCTCAGTTTGTATACTCTTTCTTTATTACTTCAATTCTTACTATAACTATTCCCACTCTAAACTGTCCCCAGTATCATTTCACTCGTTCCAATTGTCATCCCAAATCAATAAATTATTCCTTTAGGAAGGTTAAAGCTGCCAACTACCATTAAGTATTATTATTCCTCATTGCTGCAAACTGTTGGCGGACCTATAAGGAGATTTTGGAATGTTTAGACGTCGTGAATGGTTTTTGTCCACTGACGTATCAGTTCGAAGACCTATCGGTGAAAACTAGCAAGTTGATAAAAGAGGCAAGGTGGGAAAAGAGGGCTCAAGCAGTCACAGACGAGACAGAGGGGATGAACATACCTAACTAACAGCAATAGCAAACACTAATCACTGTCAATAGGGAGAAATTTGAAAGAGGACAATTCTTTCACTTATCCAAGCAGTATTATTTCAACTACAGGTAGTCAAAACGGATCAGGTTCTCGCATTTGGAATCTGAAAGCGGGACAAACCTTCAATAATCTGTAAACAGCAAGGAAATCCAGTTCTCTCAGCGTAAAGAATAAGATTCAGATTTTAAACAATAATAGCAGACCAGTTCTCCTATATGGTATACAGACTCAACGTATCAGCAGAACTAAATCGAACAGGCTTCAAACTTGTATTAACAGCTACCTTCACTGACTCCATATAGAAAATTAGAAAGTCAGAAAGGCAGTGTGTTAATGAAACAGCAAAGAACCTACAGTACAATAAATTGTCAAAGAAAATGAGTTTAGTATGGGTTTGACAGTGACACAGAGAAGTTCGTGTAAGCAAGATATGAGAGCTTTTAAGCGACCCTGTAACCAGCTAAAGAGGACTGTAGATATCAGGACAAAGTAATGATGAAGCCGCATATTCCACTCAGAACCTAACGAACCAGTATGAAACAATAACAATATATTTTGATTGGACTAGTAACTAGTGTGATGCGTCTAGTCCTTTCTTTGGAGCAGACTGAATTCTGTCAGTCAGGTTTGTAATGTAGCCACCATTCTAGGTAGCTAGCCATCATGGTGCACATTGATTTGATGATATTAGACAGTTGGAGGCAATCGGCGACAGGAAGCCTTGGACTTAGGTTTCTTGCTAGTTGGCACTCATCAGCAAGGCGTATCTGCAACCTTGAACGAACTTATGTTCCTTCTGAGATTCAAACCCACGTCACCAGCCAGTGCTGCAGTCAGAGACGTGCAAACCTGACTAATAGAACTCAGTCTGTAGCAAAGAAAGCACCAGACACATCACACTAGTTACTAGTGTCCGATCCAAATATCCACTACATTCCTACAGGAGGTCAATTGCGAGCCCGAATAGCTCAGTGGTAACATCTCTGACTGCAGGATTGGGTGACGCGGGTTCGAACCTCAGAAGGGACATGAATTCCTTCAAGTTTGCAGATACGCCTTGCTGATGAGTGCCAATTAGCACGAAACCTAGGTCAAGCAAGGCTTCCTGTGGCCGATCGCCTCCAACCACCTACTAACATCAAATAACAATATAATTGTGCAAATTCCTGATACATAGTTAAAAACAGAGACACGTAGTAAGAACTTCCATCCTTTTCAAGTTGAATAAGTTCTAATCATACTTAGTTATCGTAAATATGATAGTTTACTAATCTCTTGCATGTTTTCATCCGGCTATAATTGATAAACACAGCCTTCTTTTTTGGTTTAATGACGTATAGTGACAGGAAATGTCGTAACGTCAAATATTATGTGGACCAGCTGACTAGAAATGTTGTTTGTTTTTTCATAATACTTCCTGACATGTTGTCCTGTCTTTCCAATCTGTTAAAAATAAACCATTAAATTCATGTTTACCAAAAGACTCAAAAACGTGTGTTAAAAAAAAGGCAGCAATCGATGCTCTCCTGTTTGGTGAGAACATAACAAAGTACTTTGCGCAGAAGTACACCACGTCATATAAAGAGAAGAACCCAATAATAAACAGATATCAAAGCTGAGCAACATAGACGTGAGATAAATACTAAGTCGATGGTAATTAGCAAAAATGTTTTTAGAAAAGTGCTTGAGAAACTTATTACAGATTGAATATGTGTATATAAACAACATTTGTCAGCATATAGCTAAGATTCTGCAGCTACTGATTTACACTTGGACAAGAATATCCCTTATCCTAGGTGGCTGGGATCAACAGTAAAGGATTTTGTGAAACAACTGTTCACTGAAATTGATGGGGACGAGGCTAGTGAACTCTTACCTCTGAGATTATCGAGAGCAATAAAAAACGGACTTATACCATTGCCACCCTCTGTTTGTCATTTGCCACCCGACCAGTTATGACTGTTCAAGCGAAAGACAAGCTACCTAGCTGTACCATTTCTGTGTGTATTCAAAAATTTAGCTGCTCCTGTGGAGACAGCTGCGTAGGGCGAATAACTAGACAGCTTAAGAAACGCATTAATGAGCATCTTCCTTCATGGTTCAGAAAAGGTCAAATAAAATCTATAAGAAATTCTATTTTCGCTCATTTGATTGATCGTGGTCATCAAGTGGACAAAAATAGTGCCTTTAAAGTTATCTATCACACTGCATCGAGCCTTCAGAACAGAATTCGAACCCGCCTTTTACACATAGACGAAGCTATGAGAATTAATTCGAGAGAACAATTCTAGTCTATGCATACAACAAAAGAACTTTTTCTACCTGTGTCTCTCCCTTGGCCTAGGTGAATTTTAATCAAAACACTCCCACCCTTTCTTATTTTCTATTTCCTTCGTATTTTTATGATATCTATTTAAAGTCTGATTATCTGTCCACTTCACCTACCTTTAGTTTTACCTAACTTTGAAGATTTGACCTAATTTATTTATTGAATTGTCTAAATATACACATATTACTGCCTTTGTTATTCTATTCGTCACCTGCGTAAACTTTATTATAAATATTTTGCTACCATTATAATCATCGTTATTAACTACGTTTAAAACATTTACCACATTATTATTATTATTATTTGATCCTCAAAATCACCGTCATTGGTCAAAATTTTTATGTATAAATCTATGTAAATTTGAGTAAAGCGTGAAGATCTAAGTGAAAATTATATTGTTCGCGAATATGTCTTGTTCTAATATATGAGATGTCTTCATGTAGCTTACGCAAGGCTTCAAGCTAGAGGCATGAAGTTGTGGCAGAAGTGGTTCTACGTCTTACAAGATGGGTTCGCCAGCCTCTCATGCCCAACCTTCCCTATTTACTAGTCTTATTACTGGCTTAGTGAGATAAAGGAGCGCGACGTCGGTCAGGGATCGAACCCCGGACCACATAGGGCGTTGTTGGTGAGCATTCAACCTCTGCGCCACCGATACACCTCGATTTTACACTAACGCTGGACTTCTACTCAGTTTACTGTTATCCGTATGAGTTGGTTAAACAACACCCCCACCGGCTCTTATTTCCTCTTTACATGTTCCTCTTTATTTCACACCGTAAAGTCAAACACCTCGCTTCCATTTCGGGTCCCAGTTGACAACCTCCTAATTAGTTGGTGTCGTTTGTATTTCTCTTCAGCACATATACACAATTTTTTGATTTGGTTATGTTGTCTGAGATACAGAAATGCTTATAGTTACGCGTACTTCAAGTCTTAGAAATGCATATAGGAGTACTGACTTGATCCCTGTGTTGATAATTCGGATACTGTTTCTTTGTGTCTGACTACTGTAAATACTCACGTTTTCATCATCAGGCATATCAGAAGACCCAATAACTTTTAGTAAACAGACTGGAGAACACAGTGAGCAGTAAGCTCCAGTCAAGTTGATTTCATTGAGTACTAAATAATTTTGATATGAGGGCATACATTTAAGCTAGGATTTTAAAAAGATAAATACCACGACTTTCAACCTCAGATTTAATCTAATGACGTTGTGCTCGGATTTACTATTATTCCTTTGGGTATCGAGTGAGACATAAAGCTTCAGAAGGATGTCATCATTTCACTATGTTTGTCTACCGTCTTTTCTAGC